TACATTTGGGAAGTCTTCTTTTCCAGATGGAGTACCATGCAGAGCACCATGAACAACCTATGCATAGTATATGCAGAGCTTCTGGCTTGCCTATACAGAGCTCTGAAGTCTGAAGAGTTTTACTTCAGAGTTATTTCAAGATAACAAGTTTGAAGTCATTCTTAAGAGTTAGCTCACCCGAACTCTGAGTCTGAACTCTGAAGTCTTGTATTTCTGACTTAGAAGTCTGAACTCTAAAGTCTTCTACAAGTCTAAAATCATTATTTAGAGTTATTTCAAGAGTACAGGTCTGAAGAGTCATTCTTCAGAGTTAGCTCAACCGAATTCTGAAGTCTTCTTTTTTAGACTTAGTTCATCCGAACTCTGAAGTCTGAAGTCTTCTTTTTCAGACTTAGTAGTCTAAACTCTGATTTAGTGGGATTGATTTTATACTTCATTGTTATTTCCAGAGTACTAGTCTCTAGAGTCATTCTTTAGAGTTTTACTTTGGAGTTATTTCCAGAGTACAAGTCTAAAGAGTCATTTTTTTCAGAGTTAACTCACCCAAACTCTGAAGTCTTCTTTTTCTAGACGGAGCAGTGCATGCAGAGCTTTTGGCTTGCCTATACAGAACTCTGAAGTCTGAAGAGTTTTCTTTCAGAATTATTTCAAGAGTACAAGTATTGTAATAAACTTATCTAGACTTTGAAGACAAGTCTTTAAGATTTAGACTTAGTCTTGCAAGCCAAAGCCCCTCTGGTTGGTCTGGCTTCTGAATGGCTTTGCTTCTGGTTGTTTATTTGAACCTTGGAAAAATATTTCAATCCATCATAAAGGAACCAGAGGAGCTCTGGTTGATCTTCATGTTTAACCAGATGGTTTCTGGATGTAAATTGGAACTTAAATTTTTTAAGTATTTTAACATTTTCTTGACCCAGAGGGTCTGGGTAGACGAACCAGAAGTTCTGGTTGACAAGAGGGCCTTTGGTTGGCCTTGTTTTTTGGTTGGTGAGTCTAGATAGGCTCTGGTTGGTCTTGCTCTGTATGATGCAAGCTTTACGATGAGGTCATTTTTAAATATATTGGATATTTGAATAACTTTGAACTTAAGGTCTTCAGAATTCGTCTTCAGATTTAACACAAATGCTCTTCTAAGTTTAAATTCAATTTACTGATATAGTTTTATTTCTAAATTCATATTTATTCTACGATTAACTTCATTTTAACTAATTATTGATATAGTTTCATTTATATATTCAAGTCTGAAGAGTTATTGTTCAAAGTTATTTCAAGAGTACAAGTCTGAAGTTATTTTTCAGAGTTTTACTTTAGAGTTATTTCAAGAGCACAAGTCTGAAGAGTCATTCTAAATTTACTTCTAAGTTTAAATTCAATTTACTGATATAGTTTTATTTCTAAATTTAATTTTATTCTAAGGTTAACTTCATTTTAACTAACTAGAAGGGTACTCGTGCAATGCATCGAGACACATTTCCATTTCAATGTTCCGTTTTATTTTTTATCCATGTCGATATAATACGATTTTATATGGTTTTGAAAAAGCGATAATGTTTCTATTTTTAAATATAAATTTGAAATTATCATATAAAATTTGCAAAAATATATTAATATTAGTATCAAATTAACTATTTAAAAGTACTTGTTTGTGTATTTTTTTTAATTGAAATTTTTTATTATAA